GGGCAGGAACCCTCCTTGAACCCTAAGTTTCAAGTCCTCTTGCCTATTCAAGACCATCATTTCTGCTGCCCTCGTCAGCCCTTCTTGCATGACAGATTGCCCCAAGTTCAGTGTGTGTTTCCAGTGTGCATCCTCTTACAGTTTAAGAGAAAATGCCATCTAAACCTCACTTGACTCCTGTTACCACTTTTAAAACTGTTCTCTTTCTAATACTCCTCAAAGTGGATGCCCCTTCACATCCATGGTTTGCACATCCATGGATTCAACCACCCATAACTCCAACGTATTTTAAGAATACCACGACTGAACGGACAAACATGCGGTCCTTTGAGTCTGTGTACTTCGTATAATGGTTATTCTACAGCATGTACAGGAGATTGTGTCACCTGAGAAGGTAATATGTAATGCTATATGCAAATGTTGTTCCATTTCATAGCCAAGCCTTGGCACCTACAGATGTAGGTACCCAGAGGGGCTCCTGGAACCAATCTCCTTTGGATGCAGAGATGCCTACATTATTTTTGACACATCATAAATTACATACATTATAGGATGTCATGATGTTTTGATATATGTGTGCAATATGGAATGATTAAATCAAACTAATTAACATATCCATCATCTTGATAACCTATAATTTTTTGGGAGACTTTTGAAAAGTACTTTCTTGGTTATTTTCAAGTATACTATGATGTTATTAACTTTGTTCACTGGCTATGCCATAAGCTAAGAGCACTCCTGTTCAAAGCTAAGAGCACTCCTGTTCATGAGAAACCTGGTACCTTTGGTGAACAAACTCCAGTTCCCACGCCCCTCACCTCTTTGCCCACAGGTGGCCACCAGCCAACCTGTCGTCTGCTCCTGTGAGTTCAACTTTGTAAAATTCTACATCTAGATGAAGGAAGGGGTATAAAGCAGGGAATGCAGGTTGCCCATGGAAGCTGGGCAAGGTGAGGGCATGATTCCCTCCCCCCAGGACACTGAATTGTTAGCTTAGTGTTCTCTTGCAAGTTCTGACTCCTACAGCATTCAGATAAACAATCTCTATTGTTTTAGAGCAAAGCAGGTCTGATCGCTCATTAGATCAGCAATGGAAAACTAAGACAGGACATTTGCTGAAAAGCTCTACTTTCAGTGAGACCTTTGGCAGGCTTATAAAACTGAATGTGCTTTCCTCAGCTCTTGTCTTATTTCCATGGCTATTTTTACTTTACTGCTCGCAATTACTGAGCAATTATGATCACCTGACATTTTATTCTCTTCTACGTGGCAGCATCTAAATGCTTTAAGAGTATATTTATATCAACAGTATAGCAACAGTCATTTATATTTGTTTGCCAGCACCTAGAATGCCAGCTTCACCATAGTTGCTTAGAAAGCACTTGTTCAATGGCTAATGAACATAAGAGAAGAAGGACATTGTCATCTCTTCACAAATGTACAGGTTGCTTTTTTCCATTGCTGTTTCCTTCCTAGGTTCCATACCAAACTTTTGTTATGACCCACAACAAATGTTGTTTTATTTTCTCTTGTGCATATTTTGTCCTCATAATAAGTCCAAGAGAGCAAGGTTATGCTCATCTTGGTACTGTATATACATGTTGCCAGGAATGATGTGGATCTTCGGAAAGGCCAACATCTATGGCAGTCACAAAAACACTGTCAGTCCACCAAATCCTATCACTTCCTCCCATCAGAAAGCAAGTCTTGATTCTATCAATTCCTCATAATGAGCTAGCTCCTAGACAACTCATTAGATATTTCAGAATATGCAATAGCTCATATGGGAATAGTCAAATGAGTTGATACATATGTGATTTACCTATGAATATAAAACTAAACTTACAAGTTTATAATATGGTATCTCAGCATCAAGTAATGAATGATTTGCTAGTAGTTGTTCTTAACTGAGACACTTGTACCTTCTTCAGCCTTCACCTCCATTTTAGTGGCTGTAATTTCTTCCCGTGAATGAGCAATAACAAGCCTAGATCTCCACCATTGAGTTTTCTCTGAAGTTCGGTATGGTATTTCCACAAGTAAACTGATCCTTGAATATCCACACAGCTGAAATCCACTCCATCTTCATCCATATGTTCAATGCACTGTTGAACAAATCTTTTTTTTAATATATATGCCAGGGGATCTGTTGAGGGTGTTGAAATGGCCTAATAGTGGAGTGCTGTGGTCAACCGTATTTCAGAAGAATCTCTTCTAGAAGCTAGTGGAAGCTGAATGTAGGGGCCAAACCCGAGGCATGCCAATCAATAAGGCAATCCTTTCGGTAACCATGGGGACTAGTGAGACCTTGACTCAAGACAGTGATGATGTGGTCTTAGAAGATGAACCAGACTTAAGAACTGCTTAGAAAATGAAATGTGCAGGTTTTGTGTTTAGCCTTGCAGATGAAATGAAAAGAGAAATAAACTCCACTAACAAGATGGCTGGGTGAGCACATGGTTAATGATATTAGCTATGACACAATATGCAGAGGGAACTGTTTTAGGGAGAAGGTTGTTTTTCTGAGGACGACTGGAGACCTTTAAAAAGCATGTAGAGATCTGGTGATGCTCAGATTGTAAGAAGTTGTTGGGCTAGTGTGATAGCATGTCTTTCTACTTGATGAGTGGAGTAGACATCTTTCTCTCCTCAGCCATCATACTGAAAACCTCAAGTGTTACAAAATAAAACAACAGGGTGACCTAATCTTGTGAGCGATTTTCTGACACATGTTTAGATCCCAGTGGCAGGCTTTCCTCTACCAGTTAATGAAGAGTCTTAAGCATTCACAATCCCACAGGGCCTTTTCACCACCTCTGATGAGCTCTGAACGAACTGTCCACCATGAAATATCACAAATAGAAGCATCATATCATAATGAAAAAAGCCTGTCATATATTGATTTCCTGCTCCCTCGGGATCTTCATTAACACAGATTGTACTATTTATGAAATCTCATACCCTTTTCCTGGGCAAAATGTGCTTTAGATAGACGCTATGACAGATGGGATATGACAAGCGCTGTTTTGCAATTACTGGATGTCTCTGACACTGACATCCTCCAATTCATGCTCAGGACACCCCTGTGCATGTAGGATCATTAGCAATTATTTTTCAGATGAAAAAACAGAATCAATGAGCAGGGTAATAATTCAAAGATTTCTAGCTCAGAAGCCAACAGAGTCAAGTCAACAAAGTCAAGTCCAAATCTAAACTGAAGTGAGATACTTCATCTCCTTGGACCCCAATGTGTGCACCAGTGAAGTAGTATCTACTTAACAAATACATCATTGAAAATTATGTAGCTAATGTGGCAGATTGGCAGGTAGTGTCTGCAACTGAACAAAAGCTGGTCCACATTTCCTTCACGACTTTTGCACTATTTTGACTTGTTTCCCATCAAGCTTCAATGCAATGGAGGTGGAGTATTTTTGTGTGTCTCACAGCACCAGTGTGTCCTAACTTTATGACAGAGGCTAAGTAGTAGTGGGAAATATTTAGAAACCTGAAGATGATGCGAATTTACCACTGAAGTGGCGGGTTCCGATGTCTACCATGGACAGCCCAAATACCTAGTGAATATATTCAGGGAAGGTCTTCATCTCCCTCAAGTTAGGTGATAGTTGTGGATGACACCACTTATTGGACAGTATTTTACTCATCTTTATGGAAACCCAACACATGTTCTCAGATTATCTTCCAAGTGCCAAATATTTAAGCATCGCAAAGACCCCAAAGAGTCCTGGAAAATAGGATTCCTGGGACAAAGGACTTCCTGTATTACATTGGTTGCTTAGAAAAGTTGTTATTTAAGAAGAGATAGAGGAGTAGCACTGGAGCTTCAGGAAAGGGGACTTAGAGAAGCTAGGAAGCAGGTCTAGCAGATGTTTCAATCGTGTGGCCCGAGACAAAGATGGCAGCATGTCCCGTGTACTGGCCAGAAGAGGCAGGAATTGGAGGAGCCCAAAGCCCTTGAAACTGCTCTTTGGTGCACTCAGTGTTCCAGTTCCCAAGTTAACCAACCAGACATTGACCTAGGAACTTCTGCAGAGAGCTCTGATAGATACGACTGAAGGCTGAATCAAGTCATTTTACAATTTGGACATTACCTGGGTGAAGCTAATACAGTCCCCAGAGCCTGTGCAGGGAAGAAGAGCTCGGAGTAGAAGCTCCTAGCAGCCCCTTGGAAAAAAACCATGTGAACGTGTTGTGGGCCGTATATGGATATATGTAAGGATGTATGTATACAGGGATGAGAACCATCTCAGACAGATGGCCAATGAGACACTGAGATCTCCATGCCTCAACTGAAGAATGAATTCCACCAATCAGGAAGCTGGCAAGAGACCCTGAGGGTGTCCTGATTTTACCCCAGAAGCTCTGAGTGAGGATTCAGCTATCCAGTATGCCAGACTCCTTAGAGCCTTGGGCCTTGTTCCCATGAGGCCAGGCATTGGTCAAGTGGCTTATTAGTTTCTGAGATGATGAAATCCATGCTACACAATAGAGAAAGGCTCTGAGAGCACCATGCCCAGAAGGCCTTCAACTCTGTGTTCTTCTTCCTATCTTTCCACTCTTCATTGTCCCTTGATCTTGACACACAAGCACTGCATTTCCTCTTGTAGCCTTGAGCTGTCGCTCCCCTTTCCCATCTATTGACACCAAAAGTCCAGATTCTAATATCTTTAAACACATGCAAATGCTCTCCCAAGTTTTCAGGTTATCCCATTGGCTTCTGTAGTTCCACGGCCTCTTTGTGTGGAGTAATGCATGCTCCCAGGATCACTGAGTCCCCCAGACTGCAGCTGGCCTGCTGTCTTCTTCCTCCATGATAGTATTGCTCAATGCCCAAATAGATCTCTTTAAATTTCCATGCATGTTTGTATGTGTCTGTTTGTCTGTCTGTCTGCCTTTCATCTACCTTCTACCATCTATCTACCTATTCTCTCGCTCTCTGTTTCCCTCCCTCTCCAAAGATCCCTGAATGAGAATGTCATTACCTCTGGCTTCGAAATTTCACAGTGACGTGGTCTCGGCTTTCCTCCTCAGCCCCTGCGCTTCATTCTCCTCCTGTATAAAATGGGACCAAAGTTAGACACAGGCTCCATCTTCAGGAACGGATAAATTACTGCCTGTGAAGCAATGAGAAAGTTGGACTTTGTACGTGGTAGTTGCCTAATTTAAAAGAAACTTAATATCCAAAGTACCTAAATAAAAATACAAGAAAAGTATGAAGAGGTGTTAGCCAGTCAGAGCTGAATTCGCTTTGCCAGCCACAGAACACATCCAGCTTTCTACATGTCGCAGGAAAATGCCAGTAGTGGAGCCTTTGTGGAAAAGCAAATGTGCTTTTGGTAGTTTTAAATTCTCAAAGCAAACAGATCATTAAAGAGATCTACGTAGACCTTTGCCGTCCCATTGCTGTGACCGAGTTGTACCCTGTGGTCAACATCTAGGCCTCCATGGCTGGCTTTCCTGAGTAAGTATATACCCACATGTGTCCAGACACCCTTCAGTACAGAGTGAAGACGCACAAGCCAATGGGGAGGATGTGTGAGCGGTGGGATTCCAGGCTGCCAAGTGCTTGACCAGGGGCTGTGAGGTGTGCATTGCTTTCAGGAAAGCACAAAGCTCAGCAGATTTTTGTTAAGTCTTTCATCAGAGAAGCACGTAGCTCTCTGTGCCATAATTCTAAAACGAAATATTAATTAAAATACAGTTTAGTAGCCTGGGAGACTGTCCTGGCATAGATCAATATGCGGCTCGGAAGAGGCTACTTCTGCCTGGTTGGAAAGATCTCTCACATTAAGAACCTTGGAGGCTGGACTTGCTGTCAACACCAGCACTTCGGTCTCTCCCAGTTTCAGAGTATTTTATTTTGGAAAAAAAAAAAAAAAGAAAGAAAGAAAATGCTCTGAAATGCTCCCATTAAGCTGTCTGTATATTGTATTTGTAATCTGCACTGTTTTATATGGCCATTAAAAGTTTAAATGCAAAAAGAAAATTAAAAGCATTAATTTTTAAAACTTGAAAGTGTATAAGAATGGAAAAAGGAGAAAAATCAATACTATTCAAGTCACAAATCCTCGCTACTGGTCAGCCTGCTGCCCCCTCTGCCACCGTCTCCGGGCTGCCCCGTCTCTGATGCCTGCTCCTGCTACGGTTAGTAGTTCTCTGCTCTCCTGGAGGCTCAGTTTCTTTGCACAGTTACATACCTGCTTGTAACCTCTACGAAGTGTAGAAATGAATAACATTTAGAATTGGAGAAAGACTGTCCACTTCACCTATGTAGAAAAATTTTTTTTTAAAGAATCACTATAGTTCTGGGTTTAGGCCTTTATACTTGAAATTCAGGAGAAAATAAGGTCCTTAACTACATCTCCATGCAGCGATTGGAGTGGCTAATGAGAGCGTTTGTTGCCAGAACCTTGCCAGGAGTGCTACTGAATATTCATTACCAGGAGTCTTCCGGTAAGTCCTGCCCGCTTTTAACTCAGCTAAACTGATCTTTTCATTTAAGTTCCACCAGTTCAGAGTCAGAACCTTACAAAGTTGCAAAATCAAGGAAGTCCCCATTAGGAAAATTGCTCCCCTGCAAGGGCCTCCAACAGCAGGTGTGGGCACAGTGATAGCTGGCCCCGAGTCTGAGGATGCATTCTAAAATATCAGGGAGGGGCTCTAAAAAGATCACAACACAGGGTATGCTTGGCTTGCGCTCACGGTATTCTTTACACATCCCAAATGCAAGAGCCTTCTGCTTGCCCCATGCTTAGACAGATCCTGGACCCCAGAGGGTCCTACTCAAGCTTGGTCACTCCCAGTCTGAGCTGGCTGACAAGTAAGCGAGGCTGGACAGGCCAAGAAAAGCTTCCAAAGTGTCACCTGGCTCCCAGTGTCTTCTGGAGTGACATTGGAGGTAGTTAGGAAAAGCGGGGTGGCCCTCTGGCATTGGAAACAGTGTCAAGGACACTGGAAAGGGACACAGGGATACCATGGGTGGCTTCATGACTATACCTTCCCTAACTGTGGTATAAAGGGGTCCAGTTGCTCGCTGTTTTTCAGAGGGAGGTAGGCAAGTTAGAGCATGCTGGAAGCATGTGGAGAAAGGTACTAATGACTGTACACAGTCTCAGGCTTGGGGTAAATTACCATTGCACCCTGCCTGTGCATGTGAATCCTTCAAAATGTGCAGTGTGCTCCCAAGGTCAGATCCACACTGCTGTGTACACAGGCCCTGGGGCATGCAGGTGGCTTCTGCTATTCCACTCCACAAAAGCACCAACGCTTGCATGTGAGGAACTTCTAATGCATGTTCCATTAAAATTAGAATTCAGGTTTGGACTTCACACTTTGTAAATCTGTCTTTTTTGCGTAATATTTCACATCAACTTTTTCCTAATTAAAGATACAGTTTGATTTACAAAACAAAATGGCCTGCCTAGAGATGACCAAAATAATTAGAAAATTTCTATTAAGTTTTATTTACTGCCACTTAGATGCAATATTTAAGATTAAAATACTAAATCGTTTTCCTTGAAGAAAGAATTTTATGATCTTGCCGAGGAAAAATTTGAAAGCATGTCATAGACAGTAAAGCAACTTAGTAGAAAATGCTGATTGAAGCGAAGTGCGGGGAACTATTGATGAGTTACATGTCTCCACAACACAGGACGAAGCACATTCTGTAGTAATTTATTATCGAAGGAGTCTCCACTTACAATTAATCAGATTATAAAGAAGGCTTCCTTAATCTATGGTGCAGAGTTTACCCCTTTGCTTTATGCAGCATTACTCATTTGAATGGCGTAAATAGCCTCAGAAAGTTAAACAACAGCCATAGACCACAATGATAAATAATAGGAGAGGAAAATATTAATGGACAGAAGAACGAGAGGATACATTATCAAGAGAGCGGGGAGAGGGGACGGTGAGCATGATTTAAAGTCTTGTGGGAATGGATCGGTCATTCCAGGAAGAAAACGTTTACATCATGTCCCTGGCACACTCGCCATCCTATGACACATTTCACTGCGGACTTGAGACTCAAACTCTGGCTAGGAGACTAGAAACGGGGGAATTGAACACGGAGGCTCTGAAGCCCATTCATCATTGCGGGGTTTGTTTCTCTTATCTGCTCCAGGCTGCTCTTCTAATCTCTCTGTCTCTCCCTCTCTCACAAACACGCATATACAAGTCACAATTGCCTCTCTTCTCTGAAAGCATTAACAGAGGCAAGGTCCCTCGGCTCAGTGTGGGGCGCTGTTTATTGCAGCCCCCCTGGAAAGGTCCAGATGCCAGAGAGAGACCACAGAAACTTCTGAAGAGTCAAATGGCTTCATCAGTGGGGAGGACAAGAGAGGAGGCATGGAACTAGGGCTTTGCCGAGGTTCACAGGCAATGCCCTAAGGGTTTCCCGTAGTGTTGCAAGAAAGCATGAGGCGGGCCAGAGAGACGACCCAGCAGTTAAGTGTAAGGAATGCTCGAGTTTGGTTCCCAGCACCAACATAGCCCCTGTAACTCCAACTCTGGCGGACCCACTCTCTCCGGCCGGCGTGGGAACTAGCAAAAGTAGTTAGGGCGCAGTGGCATGGTGTTAGGTTGGGTTTGTTGTCAGTGGGCTAAGGAGCAAGCAGAGTCAAACCACCACATACGCGACATTTAATGAATGACACTACCGCGACTCGATTTCAAACAACTGATGCCACACACTGGAGGTTGAAGCAGCAGCTACAGCAAGCTAACACCGGATACTCAATAGCGAAGACCTGAGGGTGCATCTCTCTGAAACGATGCTCCCAGGAGGTGTTGTTTGCAGTGGGTCGAGCCTAAGGATGAAAGCATTCAAGGTGATTGCCCAGAGCAGGAACACCCAGGGTTTCCAGTTGCTCATCTAGACTGTGTCCCTCGCGCGGCCATTAGCTGGAAGGAGGAGGAGGGCATCAAGACCAACGGGACCAGTAAGGAGAGAAACATTCCCACCCAAACCTCAACACGAAGGACCTCTGTTTCACCTGAGAGGGAATTAGCTTCCCTCCCAACAGGGTAGCTAAGTGACCACTGTGTAAAACTGAGGAGAAAGAGATGGCACAGGGGACAGGGGAGCCCTGCTTGTTAATTTTTAATTGACTTAGCACATGTGAAAAGTTAGGTGACCGTGTGACTTAGTTAGGGTTTCTATTGCTGCAATGAAACAAAACGCCATGACCAAAAAGCAGGCTGGTGAGGAAAGGGTTCATCATCAAAGAAAGTCAGGATGGAACTGAAGCAGGGCAGGAGCTGATGCAGAGGCCATGGAGAGGTGCTGCTTACTGGCTTGTCCCTCACGGCCTACTCAGCCTGCTTTCTTGGTGAACCCAGGCCCACCAGCCAGGGAAGGCACAACTCCAAATGGACTGGGCCCTCCCCATCAGTCACAAGTTAAGAAGATGTCCTTTGGCTAGATCTTATGGAGACATTTTCTTAATCGAGTTTCCTCCTTTCAGATAACTCTAGCTTGTGTCAAGTTGACATCAAACTATCTAGCACACCATGCATTCACTTTTATCCACAACTTAAAAACACTGCCAAATAATTCATTTTTTTCTCTTTACACTCAAGATGAAAATGGAACAACCAAAATGAGATGATAGATAATTAATTACATTTCAATCAAGTCTATATTATCATAAAATTGTGAAAGCTTGTTCCAATATAGAGAAGCCATTTATAATCTATATTTATATAGAGATTGCTCCGAAACAAAGATTCCAAAGTTCATATTCACTTAATTGTATAGGCCCTGGGGCTGGAGAAATGGCTCAGTGGTTAAGAGTACTTGTGGCTCATGTAGGGGTTCCTAGAACCCGTATCGTAGCTAACAAATTTCTGTACATAGAGTTTCAAGTGATATTGATACCCTTTTCTGACCACTGAGGGTCCCAGGCATGCACATGGTATACAGATATACATGTATTCAAAATATACATACATATAAAGTAAAATAAATCATGTATTTTCTGTGTGTGTGTGTGTGTGTAATAATCTTCCCATATGTGCATATGGCTGCAGGCTATGATATGATAACAGGGGCC